TTCTCTTAAATCACAGGCCAGACACTGCAGAACAGATAAAAAGGTAACCCCTATTTTTACAGTCTCATAGTAGTTCTACCTATCACTCTCAGCAAGAAAAAAGCTTTCCTGCTTCCTCTTCTCTTACCAGACTTGTACTAAATCACTAAGGGGAGGAGTAAGAGCTCATCTCGTTTCCTGAGCAGCTGGGATCCCACCTGAGCTGCTGAGTGAGTAAGGCAGCCCATCAGAAAGAGCCTATTCTTTCAGCCCAGCTCTAGGCCTGGCCAAAACGGCAGTTTTGGGGGAGGGGAAAAAAAAAAAAAAAAAATTAAAAAAGTAGCAATAGAGAAGAAAAACTGAAAATCACTCTGTGTTGCCTGGAAAGAACAGTAGAAAACAGTAGAAAAACAGGAATTGGAGGAAAAAACTTAGGAAACAGAGAAACTTGAATCAGCTGGTTCGAAATTATCCAACAACCTGACAAATAGAAGTAAGAGATCTGAGGGTATGTTCTCACCACACAGTTAACCCAGGCTGTTCACTGAATTTTGTCTCTTAGGTTCTTCAAGCTAAGGATACCTGGCCAAGCTTGGAATAAAACCTGGTGTGTGTATGCATATATATCTCCATACAGACTCTTCCATCAAGTTAGAGTCTAATTTTCTTCCCCTTGCAGTGAAGTTACTCAAGTGCTAATAGTCTCCAAGTGCCTTCCCATAGTTGCAGAAGGACAAATGATGGTCTGTCCCCAGCCAGTGCTATTTCTTCCACTGTTTCCTGGGTGAGGATCTTAGCTCCCTGCAGCACAAAGCCTGATAAGCCTTTGTGATACAGAGAGAGAAGCACAGCATCAGGAAAGATGTCTTTTTGTAAAAGGACCACTCATGGACTCCTGCATGGCCCATCTGTGTGTCAGACATGATTTCTACTCTCTCAAATTAACTGTGCAGCAAAGAGATCCTGAAAAAAAACGACAAGAAACAAGAAGGCCTTTGCGAGCATCATTACTAATAGCAGTCTACTTAGGAAAACTTCCCAGAGTCAATGATTCGAGATGCTGTGGCACCGCGTAGTTCAACTGGTGGGCTGAGAAGTGATGCCATCTAGCTTGTCAGCTTTACTTGAGGAGGGCACAGACCTGTTTCAGAAGGGAAATACTCAATTCTTCCTCCTGAGCACATCCAAGTGCACATACAAGCCCAAAGCAGGTAACTTTTCCACTTCCACCTCACGGGGCAAGGTGGCTATGAAAAGTAGGTAGGCTGGAATACACTTTGTCAAGGGGTTGTTGTGTTGTATGGCTGATCCCATTAGACCAGAGGGAATAACATTCTGAGTCTTTCTAGGATGCTTGTTGGAAGAGGCTGAACACTCTGTACAAGCAGTGGAAGGCAACCTCAGAAAAAATGCATGAATTTCTCCTTATACAATGTTCACAACAACTTAATTACTGCCTCTGTTAGGGGGATCTGCTGAAACCCACAATTTAATACTTTCTGGCACAGTAAATTTCCAAGCCTTTTCCTGCAATAGAAGACATATACTCTTGGTTGGGCACATAGTTTAAACCTTTTCTGAACTTGGAAATCATTTAAACATAAAGATCAAATCTCTCTGTTGAATAAACTAATGTTTCTGTTACTAATAAGAGAAGCAGTTCAAGCCTGCCTTACTGAATTGCATATTTATCTGAACATTGATCTAACTCCCATTGAAAACCAACCACGTCTTTCCATTACCTTCAGCGGATGTTGGACTATCTGAACATTGATCTAACTCCCATTGAAAATCAACCACGTCTTTCCATTACCTTCAGTGGATGTTGGAGTTGTCTCTTGATGCACAAGAGAACAGCTAAGCGGGGAGAACAAACCTTACATTTCTGAGCAAAGGAACAGCCTGCTGTTTCGAGCGAGTTCAAAGGAACAGGACGCTGTGAATATTCCCGTGTATAAAATGACACTGAGATGTAGCTGACAACTGCAGGGCTCCTAGCCATGGCTAACTGCTTGCACAAAAAAAGCAGGGCAGGAAGTAGGAGCCAGGTGTCTGCTTTTAAAATGCCTTCAAGTATTTAATGTTCTCCTATTTCACTGGCAGTTCTCTTACCAAAGACCTGGGTGCACAGTTCAGCAGTGCACCACTGACTTGTGTCACAGCTACGTTTGCACTAATCCCTGTCCCTTGAAAGATCTGGAAAAGGCAACAGGTAGGCAGCAGGAGCCCGCAGCACCATAGCAACTGTGCAAGAGAGCACTAGTCTCCCTGTCAGCACTGATCTGTCTCTGCTAACCAGGAACAGGGAGAGAGGCACACACAAGCCTAAGCAAGGCTGGCTTGAGCAAAACCATCTTTTCTTCCATGCTAGGACAGAGATAGGAGGGGAGGCAGAAGCATCCAGGGCTTGCTCTCCTCAGACTCTTAAAACCATCATGGATCTATTTCCATAGTAGTGGTTTGCCTGAATTTTCTCCCTTGAGCTTCGCTGGAGGGCAGTCGCTTTCTGAAACTGAACTCAAACTGGCTGAGTGACAAGGTGAACAGAGCCAGAGCTGCGGATGTCCGAGCACGACAAGCACCAGGATCACCAGATGTCTTTGTAAGAGGCAATGAGCCCTCATCTCGGGTAATATGTGGGCGAAGGCATTTTGGAGCCTCCTGCTCACTCGATGAAGAAATGGTCCAGGTATGATGCTGGAACACCCAATCGAACTCTGCTGAGCGTAGGGCTTTGTGCTGCACACCTGCTGCTCTTCCCTCGCCCTCTCACAGGGATTTTCTTCGGGGTTTTTCTGG